CTGGGTCCCCGCCGGGGGCCTGGGCGCAGAGGGAGCACATGGGCTGTGAGCTTGAGGGAGCGCCCAGCTCGCCTTTGCTCATGCTTCGGGGAAACGGAGCGCACCTGAAAATTGGCCTCCACACGTTTCCCCATCGGGGACAGAATCGATTTTACTTAGAAATTTCGGCGCCGGCTGTGCTCAGTGCGAGCCTCCTGTCCAGGCTGAGTTTGGGATGCTTCTCCTCACGACGTCCCGGGACAGGCGACAGGAGGGGGCAGCCCTGGCCCAGACCGAGTCTCAGGAGAGCCAAGAGCTTTCGGGGGATTTGGCCACGGACACAGGCCAGAGCCTTAGGCTCCTCTTTCCTGGCCTTCCCAGGGCGACCCAGCAGAGGCCTTCACCAGCAGCGGCTCGGCCGGCAGCCGGCCAGCCCCGCGCCCAGTCAGCGGTAGGCAAAACAGAAACAGGTTCAGTTTACGGGACAGGGAGGCATGAGGTCGCCATGACCTTGCCATGGGGGTGCTTCCTGCCCCTGCGTGGATGGTGTTGCCACTGCCCGGGGAGCTCGGCGCCCCTTTGCCAGTGAGAAGGCAGAGGGGCTGGTGACTTTCTGGATCTTCGTGAAGCTGTTCTCCGTGCAGGGCCGAGACGAGGAGAAGGCACAGCGCCTTGAAGGGGGGTGCTGAAAAGTGAGCCGTAAAGGGACATTCAAGGGAGTGCAATTTTTTAAATCAAAATTGGTGCCAAAAGTCATGACCGACAAGGTCAGCGTTCTAAGAAGGGCAGGCTCCGCTCGGTGCTGGCGGGGCCCCTGGCCTCAGCCTGATGCCAGCACCAGGAGCACACCCAGGGTGCAGACAGCCGGCGGGCAGGACGGCCAGGACAGCTTTCTTGCAGCGTGACAGCGAGTTCTTTACACCTGGGTTTCCCCGTCTGGACGTGCAATCTGAAAGCCAGCCAGCCCGTCGTCTCTTGCTTTTGGCAGATGATTTAAAGGGCTGTGTGGTGGGGTCTGTGTTTTCCCCTTTTAAATCCCTCTACGAAAACCCCCAGCCTTAAGAAAGAACACCTGCCCCTTCCGTGGCCCTTCCGTCTCCCCGCGGGAGCTGTGTCAGACACGTCTGTCTGCAGCTTTGCATAAAGTTATAATAAGGCCTTGCCAGCCGGACGTGGACTTCTCGTGCCTGCATTCGACCTGGAATTACCGGGGTCGTGGGGGACTCTAGCCTGCGCCTGTGGGGCAGGGCCCGGATGGAGGGGCCGCCAGCTGCAGGGTCCTGCGGGGGCTTCACTCCCTGCATGGGGGTACTTGTTTCTCTAACTTTTTTTTTGAGTCATGCCTCTTGAAAATCCCACCCCACACAACAGAAGCAGAAGCATCCTCCAGTGTCCTCGTCGCCCTTGACCCTGGGCTTCCTACAAGCAGCCTCAGCCTGTGTGCGGGGCTGGGGGGGTGGCCCGTCCTGGCCAGGGCTGGTGGGAAGAGCCAGTCTGTGCCCTCGGGTGGATGGATGTAAGTGGTTTAGGCCAAAGCTTTGTAAAAACAGTTGGTGAGATCCTGGGGCACCCTGGGCTTGGCTGGGATGGGGCCCCTCATGTAACTGGGGTGTTGCTGCTGGGAAGAAGATCTGGGGACTTCTCCAGTCAGTGCTGTCTGGAGGCCGTGGGGGTGGCCAGGTGTAGGAGTCTGGCGTTGGATGGCTCTTTCCAGAGCGCCAGGCAGCCCTTCCTCTCCGGGGCCCAAGAGGATGTCGACAGGCGCGAGCTGGCTTCTGTTTGGGCCGGGACCCAGGGGCCTGCAGGAGCAGGGGGCCTCTCCTCCACCTCCGCGGGGTCCTCCCTGAGCCGCCCGGTTTGGCCTCAGGGCAACCCTGGTCTTCCATTCAGGAAATGGAGGGACGGTCTCTCTCTAGCCACAGGGTGACAACAGCAGAAATCCATTAAAAGAGGCAGGAATTCTGTCCCTTTGGGAGACGGGGGTGGCCTGGAGGTGGTGGCTGACCCAACCCCGCCCCCACCGCCAGGAGGAACGCCGTGTCCGTGTCCCTGGCGTCCGCTCTGTGCCACACACTGCGTCGGCCGCCCAGGACCAGAGGTGAACGAGGTGGAGGTGACCGGCGACCCCACTGGACAAAGTCCAGCCGTCAGCGGACCCCCAGGACCAGGGGGACGCCACACCCAGGCTCCTCGGGCCTGATGGGGAGGGTCGTGCTCACCAGTCTCTTCAGAAATGTCTGATTCTGGCCAAATTCCCAAATGCACAGGGCGGTGCGTGTGTTTCCCCTGTGGTCTCCCACCAGCCCTCTGCACGCGCCCGCTCTTCGTGGTTCCGAATACTCTGGCATCACTGGGTGTTTTCAGGTGTTGGGAGGAGAACTTTCCATCCTGGAGGGCGGGTGAGCCTCCTGGGGCCCTGCCTCAGGACAGCGGGGTTTCCGCGGTGGACACCGGTCGCCCCCACGGCGCTGCTGGCGGGCGCGAGGCGGCGTGTCTTCCCCAGCCAGAGAGTGTGTTTTGTGCACCGTGGGCGCCGGGGCGCCCACATCCTGGCCTGTTGTCTTTCCTGAAGGCGCAGGGCCCCTCTGCTGTCTGGCGCGGCTGGGCCCGTAGCAGAAGCTCAGGGCCAAGGAGGGAGTTCCAGGGGGGCAGGGTTCCGAGTGTCCCTCCGCCCCTGGGGCTGGGCTCCGCGCCCCGAGGGGAGGGGGTGTGTGTGAGGTCCCACCTGCCCGAGGCGCCGTCCAAGCCAAACACGGCAGCGGGCACCCTGGGAAGAGCAGACTTCAGGGGCTTCCTTTGTGGGTCTGTCCTGATGCTGAGCGCACTTTGTGTTCTGTTGCAATGAAGAAAGTTTCCAGGGTCGCCGCAGCTGGAGAGACGCGAGTCTTCCTGCCACTAAGAGCGCTTGCTGCTCCAGGCCCCAGGAAGCGGCTCGGGAGCCAGCTAGCGGTCCCAGGCCAGGCAACTCGACACGAGGGGCGTGTGGAGGGACACCGGTGGGAGGGGGAAGGCCCGGGAGGGCGGGCACCGGGCAGGAGGGGCTCCGGGGCCGCCGCAGAGTGGACGGAACAGGGTGCGGTCACCGGGAAAACGCCCGCCCGGGTCTCCTCTGGCCTTGCTTGCTGTGCTCGTCCTGGAGAGAGATGGCCGGTGGCCTGGTGGGAGTCGCCGGTGTGCAGTGGATAAGGGGAGACCGTCTCCCCCAGACTTCACACAGGAGGGAGCGCGAGGCTGGAGACGGGGCTCTTGGCGGGCCCAGCCACACGGCCAGCGTGGGCTCGGGCGCGGGAGGGTCCTGCCTCTGGTCCCGGAGGGGCCTGTCTCCTCGCGGCGCCTGTCATGCTCCCCCCCACGTGTGCTCCGTGGCCCGGAGGCGGTGGAGCTTCCGTGGCTTCGGCTCCTCAGCCGCTTCCTACGGCTCCGTGGTGCCGTCTGACCCTGCACGGGCCCAGGCAGCGCTTCTCCGGGTGGAGGGCGCGAGGGGAGGGGCTGTGTTGCCCCGTCACCCGCCCTGGACGCTCGGAGGACTTTCTCTGGCGTTGCGGGGCTCGCGGGAGCAAACGCACAACCAGCTGAAGGCGATTTCAAAGTTACAGGCCTTGCCGGTGACGGGAACATGGGCGTGTCGTTACTCCCCGTGTGTGATTTTCCTGAGAAACGGGCGGGTTTAATGTCAGCACTTAGGGATTTAATGTGGGCCTGTGACCGGGAGAATATCCCTGTAGCCAAACCCCGCGTCCTCACAAGGGACATATTGTTTCGCTGCCCCCACCTCCACCCTATTCCTTAGTCCTGGGGAAAAGATGGGGTTTCAGCAAAGTTCAGCTCCAAATAGGACGCGGCCTGACTGATTTCTCCATTTGGAGAGCACAGGCTGCTCCCGGCCGCCTGGGTCTGGGGGCACCTGCCTGGACCCCGTGGGGGAGGGAGGGCCGGAGGAGGGCTGACATTCCTTGGCTGTATCCAACCAGCAGGGCCAGCGTTTGTTCCAAGCATCAGGTCACACCAGGGCACCCCCCGCTTGGTCCTCACCACCCCCGAAAAGGCTCCGTGGCGTGTGTTTCAAATTAAAGTAAATTCAATTTGATTTTATTTTGAAATCGCAGCGAGGCTGTCAGAGCCCCTCTGAGGCCGTGGCTGGTGGTGCTCCTCGGGGCTGGCGGGAACCAGGTGATTAATCTTGGGCGCTGGCAGGAAAACCAAAACTCATTGGAAAAGTAACTTTCCGCCGCATCAGTCTCCTCTAGTTATTAGTAATTTGTCTCCAAATCTTGTTCAGCGGCTAAGGAATCGGCACAGGCTTTCTGCCTCTCCCCGTGGCGCTTCCTGGCAGCCCCTCCCTCCCGGGGGAGCCTGGTGGGCGCCCACAAGCGCAAGAAGCAGATTTAGACGTTTATTGCCCGGACGACACCATCGCGCCTCTCGGCTCCGACCCAAATGAGAGGGTGAACAGCTGCAGACTTTTCCCTCAGAATAAGACGTAAGGAGGCCGGGCTGGCCCCGGGCACAGCGTGTTCTCCCCGATCTGGGATCTTCGAGGAAACGGCTCCAGGCGCCCTCAGGCCCAGGCGCGGCCCATGGGCACACACTGGGACCAGCCTGCAGGCCTGCCGGGGCGCGGGTGCCAGGGGCCTGAGTTCTAGAAAGGGACACTCCTGGAGGCGGGCCCGGGGTGGTGGCAGCCGCAGATGGGGGTGCGCCTGCCTGGGTGGGGGTGGGGACCTCCTGCTGGGGCCCTTGGGCGAGGAAGGGGCAATCGCTGCGAGGCTCCCACCGCAGCGGGCTGGCTGCTGGGAGAACGCAGAGCTTTGTCGCTGGCCCCCGAGGGCCCCCCTTGCGTACTTTCTTGGGGTGGGGGATACTCAGGGTGAAGGAGCCACTGTGAAAGTTTGCTGGGACCGGAGCCCTCAGGGAGCGAGTGGGTCCCAGCTCCCCACGTTCCTGCACCCACATCACCCATGTCCACAGGGGCGGGCCTGGCGCCCAGCTGGGAGTGACCGTGGCCTCTGTGTCCTCTGCAGACGGACCGTCCCGTATGGACTGTCGAACTACAGGGGAAGCTTCCGGGGCCGGAGGTCTGTGGGGCGGCCTCCCCAGAGCTCTCAGCCCTCCAAGTGGGCCCGGCGCTGCACCTGTGTGGACGGCGGGGACAGGGCCTGTGGTCACTTCTGCGCCCGAGCCCTGGCCATCGGCAGGTACGACTCCTTGCTGTGCTCCTTCTAGATGCTGCCTGCCCCGGAGAGGCTGGACCCCAGAGGGTGGCTGCAGGGGTGTCCTGCCTGCTGTGGCCGTGCAGGCCCAAAAAGGGGGTTGCATGCAGGAGAGAGGTGGCCCCGGCCCGGAGGGCAGGCGGGCGGGTCCTGGAACAGCCACAGCGGAGCCACGGCTGGGCCTGCTCTCCAGACAGATCTCATCTGGACTGCACAGCACTTGCCAGAATCTGAATAGGCTGCCAACATGTGAAAATTGAAGACTTCCCCCGCCCCTTCCCCACCCGCCAGATGCATATTTTTAGTTTCATCAAAAACAGCAAATGGGACCTTCTGGTCGCCACAGCGTCACCTTCCCTTCTGGCCCCTGGAGGCTGCAGCGACACACCTATGGGCCCCGCAGGAGCCCCTCACCTGCCTTCCTCGCTGTCTCAGCATGTGGCCCGGATACCCCAAGGAAGTGGCCCAAGCATCAGAGGAGCTGGGGCTCTGTGGACGGGAGCTGCGAGGACCGGGCAGTGTGTCAAGCAGCCTCCCTGCGACAGGGCCCTGCAATCACCACCCCCCGCCCACGGGCCGTGGCCCCTAGCCCCACCAGGCAGCCCGCCACGCAGACATCCAGCCGGTGGCCGGGCTGGCAACGGCCCTGCCCCAGAAGCCACACTCCAGGGCCGCCCTCACACGTGTGCCTGGAGCCAGGGCCCGGGGATGGGCTATGAGCTGAGGCTGCTGTAGTCTGAACCCACCCCCTTGCAGCCAGGCCTGGGGTGCACCGCTGCGCCCCTGTGGGGAAGAGGAGGCCAGCCAGCCCCACGGAAATGCAGGTTGATTCTTCAAAGCCATCTCTCTTGCCACAGGAACGCAGAGATGGCAGAACAGCCCCACGAGGAAGAGGCGGAGCCGGCTGCCCGCGTCTGCGGAGACCTGTGTCCAAGGGGTGAGGCTGGTCTGCTGAGGCGTCGCCCCTGCAGGGGCAGGGTGTACGGGTGGGGGGTGGGGGAAGGCCACTGCACAGCGGGCCCTGGAAACAGAGCCCACAGAGGTCAGGCAGTTCCCGCGGCTGGGGGTAGACCCCCAGTGTCCCCTGTGCTCCGGGGCAGCAGCAGGCAGCCCTGATTTCACTGGGCCCAGGGGCTAGCCCCCGCGGCCGCCCCACCCCTGCAGGCCTGCGTCCCCCACCCCGGGCTCCTCTGCTCCTCGGCCTTCCCCCAAAGTCCTTGCTGCTTTTTGGCAGTTGTCTCCGGACAGGGGTGAGTTCCGCTGCATGGCAGCAGGCCCCCAAGTACCCAGACGGCTTTATTCCTTCTTAACACCCGCTTGTCATTTTCCATGAGAGACCCTGGGCTTCCTGCAGCCGGGCCAGGCTTCCTCGCCCCGCTGATTGGGGGAGGACTCGGGCGGGCTTGTCCCCACGCCTGCAGCACGGCGGCGACTTACCTCCAGCCCGGAGGAGGCTGGATCCCTGGGCGGGAAGGGGAGACGGTGCTCGGCATGCAGGGCCTTTCCGAACTGGGCCAGATGGCGTGTCGCCGTCAGAGAGGGCCGTGCCAGCATCCACGATAAAAACAGCGGCAGGAGAGACGCCCCAAGAGCATGAATCAAGCCCAGCTGGTCCCCGCTTTGCCTCTTCCTTTCTTTTTCTCTTTCTTCCCTACCCCAAACCCAAACTCTCATCGAGGATGGGATGTGATTAAAACCATCCATCCGCTACATCATTTATTCATTCGTTCACTCTGCAAAGATTCTCTGGGTGCCTGTGCTGAACCACACTGTTCTAGAAGTTGGGGACCCAGCAGGGAACAGGCAAAGGGCCTGCCTCCATGGGGCGTGGAGTGGGGGAGCAGACTGCAGACATCCCTGAGATACGGGGTGACGGTGGTGGGGGTGGCTGAGCAGCCCCCAGTGATGGGACGTGCTGGAGGGACGGGATGGTCTCACTGGCCAGATGACGTTGCATGAAGTCCTGAAGGAAATGAGGGGGTGAGTCAGAGGATGAGGGAGGGAAGGGGATTTCAGGCAGGGGAAGGGCAGGTGCAAAGGTCCTGAGGCAGGGACGTGCTGGGCGTGTTCAGGAAGGCAGGGAGACCCTCACAGAAGAGGCAGGCCATCGCCTCCGCCTGTCACTGCAGCTCTGCAACCAGCAGACAGGCCTCCCGGGCGCCCCGCAGGCCCTGGAAAGGCTGTTCTTCCAGGTCTTGCCATTCAGACAAAACTCCTGGAAGAAACTTTACTTGCAGAGAAAGTTTTGTTACAAGCCACTTCCTGCTCACTTGCAAGACTCGAGTTAGTGATTCCGGATTCACAGGCTCGGGACGGAGCTGCCATCCCCTGCGCTTGTGATAATCAGACACGGGGGTGGTGCGAGCACTCCCAGCGGCCCGGTGTCTGCTGGCGAGATTGCATTCGCACCTTCCTAGCCGCGGCAGGTTCAGAAATTGTTGAAGAAGCACCTGCGAGGAGGTTTAATTCAAAGTGGGGAAGAGGCTGGAGCTGGGGGTGGGTGGTCATCTTGTCCAGCTGGTAAAGCGTGACTCGTTCATAACATTCTTGGTTTTTCCTTTGCCTATTTCCCCCGTAACAGGTTGAAGTCAAAGACAGACACAGCAAGTAGGCGTCAGCCCTCCACCATCACACGCCTGCCGGCCACGACCCCTCCCCCCGCCTCTCTGATCCCTCCTTCTGGACCCCCCCCCCACCCCCGAGAACAGCCTGCAGTGTCCTGCTAGGGAGGTCTCAGCTCCATGCACAGTCACCTCCTTGAGGACAAGGAATGAGTTTTGCCTGGGGGAGAAAACCCGCCCAAAGGGTCTTCACTGAACAAGACACCTCTCCCCTGAAAATGCCCCAATCCCAATGCCCCCAGTGTCCCTACTGGTCAAGAACCTCCCAGGGCTGCCCTGGGGCTGTCACCCTCAGAAACGCCAGCAGGTAGGCGGGTGGGGAAGTCCTGGCCAGCTGCAGCTCGCCTCCTCCTGCCCCCTCTTTGCAGACGTGAGCTCCGTGCACTGGCAGCAGGTGCGGCATGCGCACAGTGTGCCCACACGCAGGCCCTAGCAGAGTAGGCCGCAGTGAGCCGGCAGGCCCGGACCGTAGCTGGACGGGAGTTGAGTTTGAAGTCTCTAGGGTCTCGAATGTTCAGCTGGGCTCGGTCCCCACCAAAAGAATGTATGTCAAAAAAGAGAAGCAAGAAAACAGACCCCGTGCTGCCCGCGGCCGGGAGAGGAGCGCATGCGCTGGCGCCTGGCCCTCCGGGGCCGCCTCCCGAGTCCTGTGGGCAGGCAGGCCCGCGTGGCCCGTTCCCAGGAAGCTCACGGCCGTTAGGGCGGATATTTGCTTTCATAAATAAATGCGGATCTTTGGGGAGCGGCTTCAACACAAGCCACAAACACAAACGCTTTGTAAATTATGTAAATTCCTATTTATCTATATAATTGACAACAACTGGGAATCGTAAGGCCCAACAGTTCTCAGCGTCCCAGCTGCGCCCTCGCGCCCTGCTGAGATGACGGTGAGTGTCAGGAAAGGGGGTGCAGCGTGCAAGGGTGGGGGACACAGCCGCCTCTTCTTACTGCAGAACCGAGAGGTGGCCCCGGCGGGTGCCGGGCCGCAGTGAGGAGACATGTGAGGCGCTGCGGCAAGTGGCGGTGGCGGCGCCGGGCAGGTGCCACCTTCTCGGCGGGCCCTTCGGCGTCCGGACGGGTCACCGCGCGGTGATGGCGGGAGCGCCAGGGCTGGCCGGCGGCGGCTGCGCGCAGTCTGAAGAAGCAAGTATTTATTGTGAGACTCTCTCGTGCCCCCGTGGCTCTGTGGAAGGGAAGCACTGCACAGATGGCGCTATGTCCACTCTCCCTCGTGTTCCGAACCCAAATGGCCTTCCGTGGAGCTCGGCCGCCGGGGCTGGCGCAGCCTCTTGCGGAGACGCCGGCGGGAGCGCGGAATAAACACATGCGGAGCCTGCTCGGATCTGTGGGTCTCTCGTGGCGTCCTGCTCGCGCGTCCCCTTCATGGGCCCCTGGAGGGGACGGGGTTATCGTCCGGGAAGTGGAACCATCTAAAGTTAATCACAGAGCACGCGAGCGAGGGGCTGCTTCAATATTAAGGAAGGAGCGGGGTTTGGGGACCATCTGAGGAAAGTAAAACATTTGAGGCAGTGGGGAAGAGATAAATTTGGGGAGAGAGTTGGTGGCGCCCCCGCGGCTCCCCATTCACCATCACCAAGCGGCTCCAGGAGCGGAGGGCAAGCCGGTGCCAGGGAGCAGCAGGCCGGGCTCCCCACGCCCGCCGCCCCCTGCAGTTGGCTTGGCCTGTGGGGTGGGTGTTTATTTCTCTCTGCTGCTCTCCCTTGCTGAGAGGAGCTGCCAGAAGCGACCCCCGTCTGACCTTCCCTGTCGATTGCAATGTCCCCAAGTCCTGAAGATTGAAGAGACACCTGCGGGGTGCTGTGCCCAGCGGGGTTCAGTCTCTTCCATTTCCTCCCTTGCCTCTCACTTTCCCTCCTGTCTTCCGCGCCCCCTCCTTTTTTGCAATCAAGAACTGGAGACCCGCAGAGGCCGGGCGCTGGACAGAGAGACCCAGCCAAAGAGCGGAGAAAACCACTCTCCCGAGCGGGCTCGAGCCCACCCAAGGGAGGGAAACCCAAGAGCCTCTTGTTTAATTGAGGTCGTTCTAGGGCCTGTTGACGCTGATGAGCTGGTCCAGCCGGTGCCGATTCATTCTGAGGCCACGAGTCCCGGGCGGGGTGGGGGGTCACGTCCGTTCTGCCAGGACTGGTCTCCACAGTCCTATGAGATGCTGCAGCCCCACAGAGGGTCCCGGGCGTGGCGGGCATTTCTGGGGCTTGGGTGAGGGGTGGCGGGGAGACCCGGGAGCGGTGAGCAGGACTGGCTACAGGATTTGCCAGTGCAAAAGGCAAGCACGGGGCTCCTGGCTCCAGAATGTTAAAAATTTCAAGATGGCGACGGTAGATCTCAAAACGCAGCCTGGCCGGTCACCTGCCCTGCAGCCCAGCAGGAGGGGCTGCTGAGTCTGTGCCGTGCCAGCGGCCCCGAGGGGAACCTGGCTAGATTTTCAGCCTGTGTCCTCATTTACCTAAAGGGTGTGGTCATGCTGGTGCCTGTCTCCCTCACGGCTTCCCCGAGAGGCCGAAATGGGGTCCGTAGGAAAGTCTTCCATCCCAGGCTGACACAAAGCACAAGGCGCAGCCCCCCAAGTCTTCCCAGTTTGCCCCAAACTGGTCACCAGCTTCTGTTTTCACTAAAGTTTCTCGTGGAAGCAGATCTTTGAATTCAGAATGTTCTTCGAAGTAATAGAATTTGATTTATAGAAATTGTCAGGATAGTCAGATGTTCCCCCGGAAGACATGTATTCTCTAACCCCCCAAATTCTTTTATATGAATGCTTAAGTATCTCACAGCTTAAGCAAATCAAGTTACCTGTTACTCAGGCCATTATCAACCCACCTGGGTCCCATCCTCTCACATATGTGATTTCTTCTTTCGCTGCTGTCAGGAGTGCTCAGTCGTCGAGCTCCGGGTGGGGGTTCGTGCAGGGAAGTTATCAGAGTCAGTAACTGTCGGGCCAGAATGAATGGACGCCCCCCTTCTGCAGGCATGACTGGGGACGGGTTGTGCTGAGTGGGGGATGGAGGCACCAGGAATTCCCGTGGGGGTGGGCGCCTGGGGGCAGGGGAGGGTGTCCAGCGAGCCCGCACTCCTGCCCCTCCCTCTCTCCAGCTCTATCACCACTAGGGCCCAGTCTGGCTGGCCTGGCACCCCTATGCGGGCTGGCATCATCTGTGGGAATGTCCTCCAGTCATCTCAGAGGGGCCTCCAGGTGCCAGCATCTCCGGCTTGTCCCCCACTGTGGGTCCTGAGGCAAGTGCCCCTTGGGCCCCCCTGGGCTGGGTGGATGCCAGTCCCAGAAAGGGGGCAGGGCTGGAGAAAATACCCATCTGGATGTGGCGAAGACCCAGCAGGTCTGGCAAGCAGACGCGGGGGGCCGGCCCGAGGGCCCTGGCCCGGCCTGGGTCTGGGGTGGGCGGGTGGCTCCTCGAAAGAGATGAGTCGGAGTGAGCCAGGCCAGATGCCCGGGACAGGGCCCCGGAGGAGGCCATGCGCTGGGCAGAAGCCTATCTAGGACTTGGAGGGCGCGGTGCTTGGGAACCCGTGCTGGGGCAAACACGTGGGTCCCGTACTTTTCGGTGAAGGGCCTGACAGTAAATATTTCTGAGCCTGTGGCTCACACCGCGGTGGCTGTGGATCCTCTGAGCAGGCAGCGTGGCCATGTTCCCAGAAAGCTTCACTTGCTGAGAGCCGGTGGGCAAGATCGGCCCAGCTGCAGATATCGCCCTGGGTGGTGAATTTCCTGTGTCCTTGTCCATCTGAAAGTGTCTTTTTTTTTTTAATGTGTACGTGACAGCGTGGCTGGTGGGCAGTCTCGGCTGCCGATGCTGGGGATGTCGCTCTGGTCTCTCCCGGCACCGCTGCTGGCCGACCAGAAATCCCCTCGAGCCCAGCCGTCCAGTTGTGGGGTGGCGTGTCTGTCGCCGGTGGACTGAGGATCTTCTTCACCCTAAATGTTCTTCGGGTCCAGTGGTGATTGCAGGGGGGTTGCTTTCCCTCCAGTTACTAGTGCTGGGTGAGACTTTTCAATCCCCCTTATTTTTCCTCGCGTTCCTTTTACCCCAATGCCGTTCTCTGGTCTCTCTGGAAATTTGCTTAAAGTGCGTATTTTCCGCCCTTCTCCCCTACCTGCATGTTTATGTCCCTGTCCTAAATTGAGTCCGAAGTTAGCACTGAAAGTCCAGATCTGTCATCTACAGAATGTCCGGGGTTGTCCAGGGAGTGGTTTTCCCAGGAAGCTCAGACCCGACCTCCAGTCCAGCCCCACAGGTGCCCGCGGAGGCTCTTCGTGTGCAAGGTTCCACGTGCAGAGTCCGGAAGCCCACCCGTGTGCAGAGGGCGGCCCGTGTGCAGAGGGCAGCCCGTGTGCAGAGGGCGGCCCGTGTGCAGAGAGCGGCCCGTGTGCAGAGGGCGGCCCGTGTGCAGAGAGCGGCCCGTGTACAGAGCGGCCCGTGTGCAGAGGGCGGCCCGTGTGCAGAGGGCGGCCCGTGTGCAGAGAGCGGCCCGTGTGCAGAGGGCGGCCCGTGTGCAGAGGGCGGCCCGTGTGCAGCGTGCACCCGCCTTTCTGGCCTTTGGTAGAATTCACCGAGGAGCCAGCCGTCCTCACCTCGCTGATGACCAGGGACTAGCAGCTCTCGTCCCATAGCCGGACGCAGCCTGGCCTGTGTGCAGGGTCCCCACAAGCCTGGGGGCAGTTCAAAGTGGGGTTCACCGGTCAAAATGATCTTAGGAAGAAGTTAATTAAAGCCTTTAACAAGTGATACTCTTGCACAATCCAAATAAAAGGCCAAAAATTATACCCAGGGGGCCTTGCCTCGCGCCTGTGCCTGGCCGAGGGGCCGTTTTTATCACCCTGGCCTGTCCCGGGTCCGTGGTGCATATGGGCAAGTGCAAGCATGGCCTCGCCTCCCTCCTTTCTCTGGCAGAAGTTAGCTCTCAACACCACACAGCTTTTTTCTGTCACCACTTTTGACCCCATACGAGTAGTTTTTTCTGACACCAAACATGCGTCATTTTCCCACACCAATTCTCCAACTCTGTGGCGCCCGCGAGCGTCCAGAAATCCAATTCAATTGTGACACAGCTGCCTGGAGGGGGCCTCGTCCCACGGCGAAGGGCTAAGACACCCCCACTTCGAGTGGCGGAACAAGCAGGGTGCTGTGCCAACTGCAGATCTGGGGGTTCTGACAATTTCTGCCCCCCACCGGGCTTGATAATTCTTTAGAATGACTCAGAGAACTCAGGAAAATGCTCGACTTACAATTACAGTTTTTGAAAGTAAAGGCTACCACTCAGGACAGTCAGGCGGAAGAGGCACTGGCTGGCCGTTGGGGAGGCTAGTGGGGCGCACGGGGCTCCCTCCTCTCCAGGCTACTTTCCTCGGGCACGTCCATGAGGCTCCTAAGCTCCATTACTTAGGGTCCCCCAAATCCCATCACGTCGGCACGGTAGGTCACACCCCTGGTCGCTGGGCAGGGGACTCTGTCCTCTTCCCCCAAGGTCACAGCACGGGCTGGAACCCTGGACCCTGGTTTGGCCTTCCGGAGGCGCACCCCGCGCTGACACCCTCCAGCCGCCCACAGCCTCCTCATCAGCCCGCAAAGACAATACGTCTCAGCGGTCCAGGAGCTCGGGGCCGGGGCTGGGGAGGCAAAGGCCAAATAGGTACGTTTTTGTACTCCCACAAACACGACCTTTCCTGTGCCTGTTTGTATTTTATGTTTTTGCTGCACATACTTGGCTCGGTGCGCCGTCGTCGGCCCCTGGCGCTGGGGGCTCGCCCGCGGTGCTTCGCCGGGAAGGGCCGCCACAAGGAGCGGCCCGCGCCCCGCGTGTGCAGGCTGGACGCTGCGGTGTTACAGGAGAGGTGCTTGGTGTTTTGGGGAGATACCGTCAGGTTGGAGAACTCTGTTGCTGTTTTCCCGTCTCCAGAAAAGTGACCCGCTCGGGACTCAGGAAGGCAACGTGCCCACAGCGGGCCAGGCTGCAGGAGGCGCGTGGGCTGGGTGTGACTTGCGTTTGGGCGAGGTGAGACGAAGGCATTTCCGAGG